TGAAAAATACTTTCTAATTACAATGAAGGGTATCAGGTTTTTCAAGTTTCATTGCAATCAAAATAGTCTTATCTATATGAATCATTTTCCCGTAAACGAAACACTTCTCACATTTATTTATTTGCAAAAGGGACTGCAGATAATTGTAATGAAACACCTCAAACATATTCCTAACCCTAACCCTTATACTAATCCTAACCACAACCTTAAACCTAATGTGCTCTCAACCCAGTGTCCAAACAGTACTTAAAAACGTGATCAGCATAAAATTGTACCTCACTTCGTTCACAGCATTCACAATGACTCCGTAATAACAACAGGCTCGGTAATCCAATGAATGGTATCCGTTCAGGGTCACTAGTGCCTTCGCATTCCATGGTCTCTATTCTTTAGGTTGGTCATGTTGACCTCGAGGGATTATTTACTTTTCCTCTGTTTAAAATGTATACTTCCTTCCAGTGAATACAGTAACACTGAGAACATCCGTGTTGACTACAATCCTTTCTTATCATTTTAATGTCTAGTTTATTACTATTATTGTTCCCTTGGGTTCCTAGTGGAACATAGGGCTTCAACTGCACGTCTCCACTTGCTTCTGTCTTCTGCTGTACTTTTCACCTGCATCCATGTTAGTCCATACTGTTTCAACTCCTCTTCACACGATCTCCTCCATGTCACCCTTCGACGTTCCACTCGCCGCTTCCCTTTCGGGTTCCACTCGAGCATTGGCCTGATGCGCGATGTCACCCAGCGGCCTCCTCAGCGAGTGTCCATTCCATCTCCACTTTCTCCTGTATATTTGTGGTTGTTTATTATTAGCCAAATAAATATTTTGAATGCATCTCATTAGGTTATCTTTGTAATTACTATTTTTTAGCATTATTGATGATGCCACCAGACAGTGCATTCCCCTGCCACTTATACTTCCCATATAGTTTGGTATACTTTCATATTTTAGACTATATGACTTACCGGCTTTCACATTCACTATGCTCACTCGTCGGTCACGCGCATTCAGAGAAATGATAAAAACTAGACATTATAATATCAATTTTTAAAAATAATAGTTTGACAATCATTTGGTTATACATATATATGTGTAGACAGATACATATGTCAGTTGGAATTTGAGAGAATCGAAATACCTGGAAAACAAATTTAGAAGCAATAAATTCTATTTTCAAATGTTAGATCAGATCATCATAATAAACTGGCTTTTTAATCAAAAAAAGAAACTTTTATTTTTATCCATGAATTTCGCCTTAGTGAATCTTAAAAAGACAATAACAGTAACACGTTGTTATCTTATCTACTGTCTGTATAAAACGTGAATAATAAAAGTTAATAGTTTTTTTAAAAATTAGGCACACTTTAGTACATTGGAGTGAGAAATATGAGGCAATAGTTAAGAATTATCATGGCTACTACATAGATTAGTTGAAGTGTTAATTAAGTGAAATTTAGAAATTACTCGTGATTTTAGTGCGACCACTGGTCAGTGCCGTTGATGAGTATCTGTCCTCAGACCCCGACATGATGGACCCCACTGGTCATGACTTCTCATCAGACCTCGAGGCAACTTCGTCCTGTAGCCAGTCACTAGTGAGCGTCAGACTAATTTTCAAAAGTTAGTTTGTGGGAATTTGATTTGATATCAGCTAGATAGCTGTTTCACCCTAGTTTGGGACTTTTCATCAGTACTCACCTATCATGTTTCGAACTCAGAACCTCCAAGTTACAAGGTGTACGAGCTTGGCCTGAATACTATTGAAGAGTCCCAGTAAGAAGCTCCTTTCCAGTGCTCTTTGATTTTCAGTGGTCCTTTAACCAATTGATATTAATCTGTGATTAGACTTTAAAAAAATCGGATCCCTATAAACTAACGCATAGAAATTACTGTTGTACTCCCTTATGTAATGCTATCGAAGTTTCCTGAATAAAGCAAAAGATTTAGAAAGTAAGGATAATAAGAAAATATCAAGGCATAGAAGTTTTAAGATCGCGTAAGCAATTGGCAGCAGATGTTCGTAAACAGATGATATATAAGAAAAATGTTGTGAGTTAAACTTATTTAATGATGTAACAGATATGTGAAGCATTATATCTGACTAGTGATGACGTAACTAGGTAAGAGTGAAAAGAAAAGTTACTAAGGTAGAGAAAGACTTACTACAGCTACTTTTCGAATACATAAGTTGGGTTATAAACATGTGATAGCGACTATCACTTAGAACTTCAAGAGTCTTGAGCTCGTTTGTTTCTTTATTATTTCGAAGTAAGTAATTCATAATGTCTACTTGATGTCTTGTGTCAATTAGATGTCTCATAACTGCCCTGCTCAAAGAATCGCTTTCTCTTAATCATATAATTTTTGATAGTTGTTCAGAAAATCTAAGTTGTGATGAGTAGCTATCACATATGGGTAAGTAATCACAGAGTGCACATCAAGTAACGCTTCCATTGGATGTACTTGCTTCCCATTAAGACGATATTATCCCAAATACCACTCAAACCCATCATCAATCATATGAAACTCCAGAGTGTTATCCACGTTTGTCTCAGTGGAATTATCATCATGCACTGCAAAGCATATAGATACAACTGATGAGTCCCAAAAAGGACAAAATTTGCCTCCTAATATTCCACTGCTAGCTACCATCAACTGAAACAAAGTTGCTTCACTTAAGTGAAGTGATATACGTTTTCTAGTGTGAGCTAAACAAATTCTACTGATAACTAACAAATAAATTGTGGGATATTTGATTTTTGTAAGTTAAAAGTTTCCATGCTAGGCAGTATTACATCGATCAGAATGAAAGTGAACATATAAGTACCTAATGACTGTGTGTTTATGACATAAAATCCAATTGAATGAGAAGACTTTAAGATAAAAATAGAAAAGGGAGGATATAACAGATATGACAGTTAGAGAGGAAAAAAAGAAATTAACTTGAATAGATAAAATGCTAAAATTTTAACTGATCTTATCCATAAAATAAGATGATATATTCAAATAAAATAATTAAAATGTGATTAACATGTTTTATCTTGAAAGCTATTAAATATCAAAAATTATGTTACAGCGCACTGAATTATTTTATTATTATTATTATTTTATTCCTTTACGTTCCTAGTGGAAAATAGGGCTCCAAGCCTCTAGCTTGAAGTTTCGGTAGCAGTAGTGTTTATTTTTAGGGGAGGGGGTTGCTAGCCTCACACCCAACCTTCCCTCTTTATCAGTCTCATTACTGGAGTGCGTTGGTTGGGGATCGAACCCCGGACCACATGCATGGTTGGAGGACATTCTACCTCTGTGCCACCGACGCTGTGTTTAAACTTACTATTCATTATTATTATTTCTTTAAGTTCCAAGTGGGCTTCAGCAACACGTCTCCATTTCACTCTTCTTTCTACAGTCTATTGTTTAAGAGGACTACATGATTGCCCATAAGCTTTAATTTTCTCCCATGACAATATCCACCATGTCATTCTCGGACCCACGATCAACTCGTCGTTTCCCATTCGATTTTCACTAGACGGCCTCGGGTTTGACGTCACTCAGTAGTGTCCTCAGAGTATGTTCAATTCATTTCCGTTTCCTGCTTGATGCTTGATGGACTATATGTACCTGGTTGGTTCATTGTCAGATTTCCTTGTCGATTATCCTTTATGTCAGGTCATTTGATAGGATAAGTTTCTGAAGCCTGTTATAAATGCCTTTTGTAACGCATCAATTCTCTGAACCATATAGAACTAATTCGACCCTAATGTTGGAAATCCCAATTTTGTTTTTTGCGCTTAATGCTGAAGATTTACACATTGATTCCGGATTAATAAACGTTTGTCTTGCTTTTCCACTCCCGACTGGCTTTGAAATCCTGATTCGTGTCGACTGCCTATAGTTGCAACGATGCTGCCTAGATAAGTGAAAGGGATAACTTCCTTTACATTTCTCCCGTTGATGGTGCTTATTGTTTTTGATTACTGGATATCTTGATCACCTGTGTCTTTTCTATGTTCATCGGAAGTTCTGTCTTCGCTGCTTCTTCTACCAACTCCTCGGTCTTCACCTGTAGATTTTTCAGTTTGTGTGGCATTAGACACAAATTATCCTTGAAGTTCAGATCTTCTCGATTCTTCTTGTTGGTCTAGCCTACGTCTGTCTTTTCGCATCCCACTACCTGCCACATGATATTATTATTTATTATATTATTGTTCCCTTGGTCAGAACATGATTTGCCTTTCCTGAATCCAGCTTGTTCTGGTCGGAGTTCTGTATCCAGTGCGTCCTTTATTCTCTCCAGGATGATGCGACTCAGGATTTTAGTTGGCGTCGACAGGAGCATGATTCCTCGCCAGTTCTTGCAGAGTCCTAAGTCGCCCTTCTTTGGTAGTTTCATGAGGAACCTTTCCTCCAGTCAGCCGCATGATATAGTCCACTAAAATCAGAAATATTATCGGTGATAGTAAGCAGCTTCATCTTACTCCTGTTTTCACTTCAAAGGCTTTGGTGAGTTTCCCATTATGAGTGATGAATGATTAGTAACTGCACAGTTTTGAAGAGTCTGAAACCAGATATCTTAAATTTTCTCATACCTTGCTCTCCAAGGGAAACAATGAGCTTTAACCTCTGAGCTTTCAAGGTTCAATAACTGTAATGTTGTTTTTTATACAAAGTGTAGTCCCTAGCTTCACATTCAACCTTCCTTCTTTTTTGGTGTGCATCAGACGGGGATAGAACCTGAGTCTCCCATGTGGCTGGCAAACATTCTACCTCTTAACCACTGATGCACAGCATCTTAATAGGTATGTAATTATACCATGCAACTGTATACTGAATGCGTGTGAAAGAGTTACTTTTTAGAAGGGAGACGTACATATAACTCAAGCAACGATATACATATGTATATATAATGTCAAATCAAAAGTGTTTTTAATATGAATCTTTTAGCCGGACAACCTACCGGTTAATTAATTTATTCATTTATTACTTTCCATAGTAGGATCTGGAAAAACTGCAGCTACAGGCGACCATATTGAAAATCATAACCTTGATAATTCAAATCAACGCAACAGTTTAGGTGGTGGAGATGGAGAAATTAATGAGAATGGTGGTGATGCTCCTAAAGGTCGTAAACGTCGAAAGAAGAAATACTCTGTACTTCAGGCTAAATTGACTCATTTAGCTGGTTTAATCGGACAAATGGGTAAGTACAATGTAACTTTTCATGCTGAGAATTAATGTCCAAGTTTTAAAAATTTTGTCATAAATTTTATCATGTGTACTGAGTGTGGTGAACAGTACAGTATTGTATTTTATTGTAAATCTGGTTCTCAAATATTGATTTAGAAGAACTGCAAGGACTCAGTCGTTAACTTCATGGAAGTACAGTCCAGTCAGGGTATAATCATTGATTTAGTCACTGTATTATCTGTTCCTTATACATATGTACGTCATTTAGGCAGTTGCAATAGAAACATGCTGGAAAGAAATATGGCAATTAGAACTGCTTCGCTAGGTACCACTTACACTGGTTTCTACTATTCAGTCTATCCGATGAAAAAGGTTGTAAATCGTTTTGCGTTTAACCAGAAAAAAATGAAAATGTCGAAGACTCTGTAGGTAAACGCATACTCACTTGTGTATATATGCGATATAAATCGTCTTTGTGGCATAGACTGTATTAATATGAAGAAGTATGCTTCGTGTCTTCTGAAATATTTGGAATAAAGTTGTCTAAAAGTCAACATAGTCACTTCTCTTAATATTATGTAGACCTATAGACTAAACAGTTAAAGAAAAGTAAATCAGCACCATCTCTAAGAGAGATTGTTCCAATGGTGAATACGCTATATAATTCAAAGCTCCCATCCCCTTCATCTTTTTCAATCAAAAACATAAACACAATCGCTATGGTTATTTCACTAGGGAACAATTCTTAACACTCACTTACTTCTGAAGTTACCTCAGAAGATGTCTAGGAGAAGAGTTAGAAACTAATGGGACACAAAAGCAACAGTAGCAATACTGAAAACATCCACATGGAAGAGTGACACTGACTATCTCTCTTCAAGAAAAAAAGGATACTTCCCTCCTCCCCCCACCTACAGTTTCACCAGAAAATGTCTACGTTCAAATCAGATTACCAAAAAGAATTGTAGACGAACCAACACAATCATTTCGCTTACTGCTGTACAGACCGAAAGGCCCAACGATAGAGGGATCCAAGATCAATACCATCTACAAAATAAATTGCATGAAGTGTGACAAGCAATTTATTGGCCAGAGTAGATGTCACCACTGACTTTGAGTTCAAGAAAAAATAAATTAGCCATCAGAAGACACAATATGAATTCTTTCATATCATTACTTGTAGACTGAGAAAATGCACAAATTTTAAACAATGAAAACAACAAAAATGCCAAGGGACTCTTTGAAACTTGATACTTAGATGGATCTGCGGTTAACAGACACATGGTTTAATTTTTCATTAAAAAAGATCAATACTGATGGAAATTAACAACCGATCAAGACACGTTTGTTAGAAGATACAGTGACGTATCATTCCTGGAGAACTCAAATGAGTTCACTCCATATTGAAGCTTCCGCTGAAGATATTGTCTAGAAGGACACTGAAAGCTCTGCAGTTAAATCTCCAACCGTCAAAAGATATAAGCACTATGTCGAGTAATGTCTTCCATGAAACAATGGTAGTTTGTGGCCCATTGGAATAGTCAATCAAGAAGAAACATGGTAAGAAGGTGACTACACTGAGAAGAATTCATTAAGAAACAAAGAAAGAAGATATTTTTATATTACTATACGTGCGTCGGTGGAATAGGGGTTAGGACGCTCGCCGACCATGCACATGATCCGGGGTTCGATCCCCGGCCACAGACGCACTCCTTCACCTTGCTAAGCCAGAAATAATGCTGGTAAAGAGGAAAGGTTGGGCATGTGGCTAGAAACCCCATCCTGTAAAGTAAACATTGCTACAGAAACTTCAAGCCGCTAGCTTGAAGCCCTATGGTCCACTGGGGAACGTGAAGGAAAAAAGAAGAACATTACTTCTACCTCGACCAATCTTGTTCCCTAAAATTCATTGTGATCAACACAAATGATCATTTTCAAGTGTTGGTTTGTAGGGATTCGATTGGTTACTGATGTCAACAAATGATCATTGTTTCAACGAAGACGTTATTTGATATACTACTTATTTCAACCTATGAGTAGCATATATGATATTACACACACTTAGCTCCTAAGTCCTTAAGTAAGACGAATTTAAACACACAGATTGTTATGGCATTCAGATGTATAGAAATTGGTTGATATAACACAGTCTAGCCAATTTTCATTCTTTGTAAAGAAGGAAAATAACAAAAGCTCTATCAATACTGATCAAAATTAACAACCATTCAAGTCAAAGGTTGTCAAGAGATACAATTATATATCACTCATGGGGAGTTCAAATGTGCTCACCTCATATTAATTAAATCGCCACCCAATTCAGTAAACCCAACCACATCAAAATCATCCACACCTGAGCTACCAATCTTATTTATTATTTCAAAATTAATGTTCCTCTTTCCTGCTCAGTTGTTCACTTCATCGCTTGTTTCACAAATGTTGGCAAATTGAATAAAGAAAAAATGGCATATATGTATATGTGTATATATAGACGTATAACTGATTAAACTAGCTAGGCGGACAGTAGAATAAATATTACAAAATGTCGGTATATTTCACTGTGAAATGAAGCATTGCAACAATAGAGCTGTTTGTATTTCTAGTTTTCTGTTGATTGAATAATAGCAAATAAAGTAGACATTCATTGAATGCTAATCTATACTAGTAATAATAATGATAATAATAATAATAATCTATCCTTTTTCCTCCTACTTGGCTGAAAGCATTTTCAATGAAAGACAAAACTAAAAAAGAGGCGCCAACAGTCATGAAAGTTGACTAACTAACATTCAATGAAGTTTTTTTAAATGTCTTTTACTGAAAAGCAAAAAAGAGGCAAACAAAAAGCAGAAAAGGAACGCTTCCCCCAAAAAATAAATAAATAGAAATTAATCTTTCAGCAATTCTTTTTTTTAAGAATTTTATTTAGCAAATTCATTAATGCCAGGAGATAGGTAGCAAAATGAGAAGAAAAAAAGAGTAAAGTAAAGTAAAGTAAAAATAGAATAAAATTCTTTTCCTCTTAAATATTTCACGTGTTCAAATTAATTTTTCTTCACCTTGCACATTCTTTTCCTCCCCCACCTCCTCTCTCTCTCTCTCCGTCTCTCTTTTAGTTTTGTGACAAATGTTTGAAGCAAAAGTCAAACTTCTCATGCAAATTAAACTAGTGTGTTTATTTATTGCCTTGTGATGCGTCCAACTTCTAAATTTGTTTGCAGTCAACCAATTCTTTTTCCATTAGAAAATTTTTAGTGTTTTCTACTGACGGGAACTTTTGTTTTTTTTTTATTTTGAGAAAGAGAGAGGCATAAACTACTGACTGTTATGTTCAGCGGAACTTCAAGTTGAAATGAGCTGCAAACTTTGTGATCTATGATAATAATAATAAGTGATGTTGAGCCATCGATACTGCATTTCTTAGGTGTTATCCCTTGAAAGAATCCTATTAACAATAGTAATGACTGTGTTCTAGTTGGTACTTTTGATACGTCTCGGAATTCTCTTTAGATAGTTCAGTAGTAGAATGTTTACCAACCTCACACACACACGAACTGGGTTCGATTCCCAGCCGGAGCACTTCTTAACCGTGCTTAGCCATTAATAAGCCCAGTAAAGAGAGGAGGTCTTGCGTGGGTCTAGCAACCTCTTATTGTAAAAGGGAAACATTACTGCTACTAGAACTTCAGAACTCCAACTTGAAGTTCAGTGTCCCACTCGGAACTCAAAAGAATGAAAACGGAAGTACAACAGTGCGTCCAATTTCCCCTTAATATCGTATATTATTATTAATTGTTTATTACTTTTCTCTTGGGTTCCGATTGGAACATAGGGCTTAAGCAGCACGTCCGCACTTTGTCCTCCTTAACTTGCCCTACGATTGCCCATAGTCTCTGATCTACTTCTCTCACTACCTCCTCCATGTCACTCTTGGATGCCCTACTAGGCGTTTCTCATTTGGGTTCCACTCAAGTGATGGCCTAGCTCGCGAAGTCACTCAACAGTCTCCTCAGAGTATACCCTATCTGTCTCCATTTCATCCTGCATATTTGCTGAGCGATAGTTTCTCGGTTAATTTGTTGCTAATCCCTTCTGTCAGGCCGGCCATTTGATCTTCATTATGGATCCAATGTAGTAAGGTGTTGATAAAAACCCATAAATTACTGGAAATCATCTTCGTGATACACAGTACAAGTTTCTGACCTGCATAGAGGAACTGACTGACTGACTTCACATTTGTGTTGAAAATCCGAATTTTATACTTTATGCAGGTTGAGTGCAGAATATTTCCAAACTGATTTCAGCGTGATTAAGGTCTGCCTTGCTTTCAAAAACGCGGTTTTGACATCCTCATCAGTGCTGATTGCCTATAATTGAAACGATTCTTCCTAGATAAGTGAAGAAAGTGACTACTTTCAGGTTTATTTGGTCGGTAGTGATTTGTACTGGTTGTTGCTGCTGTTGATTGGTTGATTGATTGTCTTCATCACCATCTTCTCTATGTAAACCTGGAGTCCTGTTTTCTCTGCCAGTCTATTATTACAGTTTGTTGGTTTCCTCCTGTAAGTCTTCGATTTCGTGTGACATTAAACTTAAATCATCCACGCGCGAAATTCAGATCTTCTAGAGTCTTCTTATCCGTAGTCCAACGTATTCCAACCTTCTCTCTCCTCACGCACGTCGTGTCGCATGATCCAGTCCACTAAAATGGAGAATATCATCGGTGATAATATGCAGGCAACCCTGTCTCACTCCTGTATTCACTTCAAACGCTTCGCTGAGTTTTCCATTGTGGATCACTTGAAACGTGTCACTGTCGTATAGTGAGGGAAAAAATAATTAACAGAATGCATACACTAATAATTATGTCGATAATATATAAATATAAAATTAAATTATAAATTAACATAAATGGTGACAGCAGTGTGTTAATAATAGGAAGAATGAAAAAAAGTAATTTAGTAGTTTCATGCTCAACATCGCATAAAATGTCTACAAAATAAAATATAGTTGAGTTTCTAAATTTAGTCGTGTGAGTATAAAGTCTTTCATAACTGCATTTACCCCTACCAGATGAGACAGATGTATGGAGAAAGTTGTGAATAATAAACAGGGTGCTTAGAATCCAACAAAATGATTTTCGTTTGACTGATGTGTTCTCTATTTGCATGAGCTCAAATGTCTGTCCATAACAATATTAACTAACCAGTTGGCTTAGAAGCACACTAATCACCCTGCCTACAGCTTCTAGTCTACTACACAATGCAACAAAGTCCTTGTAACGTAGATTATTCGAACGTGACATTTGTTCTTTAGTATATATCAAATTAGTATTTAATTATTTAAAAAATATGTCAAGATTGGCAAACATTGTGATAGTTTGTCTGGTTCTTTCAGTCTGAAATAACTTGCTATTCAGTTGAATTTTTTTTAGGTTTTTACATGAACATAAGTGACAGGTAAAATGCTAGTGGACATCATTGCAAAGTGACAGATGGATATCAGTAGTTACTAGTGTAGAGGAAATACTTTCTGCTAGTATTTGACAGTTATAGACTTTTAGTAGATCAGTTATTCATGAACGTTATAATATTTAGAAATACTGAGGATGATTATTGAAGATAAAAATGTTAGGAAATGATGGTAAATTATAGGGAATAATAGCATTTTGTCATTTAAAAAGGTACATAAAATTTTGATTATAGTATGCATAAAGTGATATTTCGTTCTCAGTTGTTAAAAAACCCTTTGTGTCAGGTGATCCACAATGGGCGACTCAATGAAGCGTTTGAAGTGAATACAGAAGTGAGATAAGGTTGCCTGCATATTATCACCGATGATATCCTCCATTTTAGTGGACTGGATTATGCGACACGACGTGCGTGAGGAGAGAGAAGGCAGAAATACGTTGGACCACGGATAAGAAGACTCTAGAAGATCTGAATTTTGTGCGTGGATGATTTAAGTTTAATGTCACACGAAATCGAAGACTTACAGGAGGAAACCAACAAACTGTCAGAAGGGTCTGGCAGAGAAGACAGGACTTCAAGTGAACATGGAGAAGGAGGAGGTGATGAAGACAACCAACCAAACAACTAAGCAACAGCAGCAACAGCCAGCACCAATCACAATCAACGCCAGAGATTTGACAGAGGTTACTTCCTACCTTCACGGTTCCAACTATAGGCAGAAGGGTTGAATACTCCAACGGCAGCCAGAATCAGGAAAGCAAGATACACCTTTGTGGTCCTGAAACCAGTCTCAAAATCTTCTGCACTCTTCCAGCTAGAAGAACAAGATTCGGATTTTCAACACAAACGTGAAGCCAGTCAGTCAGTTCTTCTATGCAGGTCAGAAACTTGTACTGCGTGTCACGAAAATGATTTCCAACAAGTTACAGACTTCTGTCGACATCTGACTTCGCTGGCTTCATAATGAAGATCAAACGGCCTACTGGCCGGCCTGAAAGAATTAGCGACAAGAAACTCTGTCAACAAATGAAGAGGCGAGAGCTGATAGCTCAGCAAATGTATAAAAGAAAATGGAGATAGATATGGCATCCGTCGAGGAGACCGTCGAATAACATCGCGCTCAATGCATGCCATCGCTTGAGTGGAATCCCAATGGGAAGCGACGAGTGGGTCATAAGTGCGAGGATGACACGGAGGAGATTGTGTGGAGAAAAGGAGAAGAGGGATTATATTCATTCATGGAGCCAGCCAGCTGAAGAGGACAGCAGAGAATAGAAGAAAGTGGAGATTTGTTGTTGAAGCCCTATGTTGTACTCGGAACTCAAGGGAATAATAATACATAGTATGACAATCAGTGTAGAAGCATAGACCTTTAACTGCTTAAAAATCAAACCATTTCCTCCTGTGACCAATCTGTCTACAAAAAAGCCTACAAAAGAAATAACTTCTGATCATTAGACAAACGTATGTTCCGAATGATTGTTTTTTTTCATGTCAGTGGTTACATCTAATAAGATTATTTCTACAATACTAAAGACTAAACAAACACAAATAAATCATCATCTACTCATCTAACAAAACTGCCACCCACAATGTAGGCAACTATCGCGACTGATGCACCAGCAAAAACATCATTTCCCTCAGATTCGGTTAGCATTGGAATTTTTATAACTAAGGTGTTAATCCCCCTTCAAGTGGAATACTTAACACATTTGAGTAAGACTAAATCTACACGACTACTTTTCAGTTAAAAATTAATCTCCAAAAGCTTACAGTTCGAGAGAGAGAGAGAGGGAGAGAATGGGTGAAAAATAGCAGCTCAGAGAATGCTTTCACTTCACAATCAGACTTTTTTTCCTTCACGTTGCCTAGTGGAACATAGGGCTTCAAGCTTGTGGCTTGACGTTTCTGTAGCAATGTTTATTCTACAGGATGGGGTTGCTAGCCTCATGCCCAACCTTTCCTCTTCACCAGCATTATTTCTGGCTTAGCGAGGTAAAGGAGTGAGTCGGTCGGGAATCGAACCCCGGACCATGTGCATGGTCGGCGAGCGTCCTAACCGCTATGCCACCGACGCTTTCACAATCAGAACTAAAACTTTGGTTAACATAAAATATTAAACAAATTTCTGAAAATGGATTTCATTTGTTTTTGTGATGGAATAACATTGTTTTCACCAGTATTTTCATTTTTCCTTTGATTTTCTTTTCATTTTAATAGGTACTGTTGTGGCTAGTTTAACTGTGATTATACTGATTATAAAATTTTCTGTGAATACATTTTACTTTGAAAAAGAACAATGGGATACAGGAAGACATTTACATCAATTTGTAAGATTTGTTATTATTGGTGTCACTGTGCTTGTTGTCGCTGTGCCTGAAGGTCTTCCTTTAGCTGTAACTATTTCACTAGCCTATTCTGTCAAGAAAATGATGAAGGTGAGTCGTGGAAAATTGTTTTCACTTTGAAAAAAAAGTATTTGCGATTATTTATTTATGCAAATGAGTTGGTTTTTTTCTAAATACACTAAAAACCATATTAACGTTTGATTGAACACTAGTTAGTAACTAGTGTAATCTGTCTAGTCCTCTGTTTGGTGCAGGTCCAAGGCTTCCTGCCGATTGCCTCCAACAATCTAACATATTAACTTTTCTCTATAATTCTATGTTCATATTGAATCAGTGAGAGGGGAGTTTAGTTTGTGTAACTGTTTGATTGGTCTCAGGGTGGTTTCCGTTAAAACCACAAATTCACTTAGAGAACTGATAAACAATAAAAAGTATTGGATTTAACTCGCCTGGATTTCATTATTAGTGGATTTGTAAACTTATCCATACTGCTGAAAAGTCTGACAGTTGAATATTAAAGCCCTGTCAGTGGTTTATGATATTCTACTGTCTACCTAATGGATATCAATTCATGGTATAATCTGCCTGATGAATAATGAATATATCTACGTCACCTGCTTCTGTTTAAAATGTTCCGTGATAATTTCTCACTACTGACTAGGTGAAAGCATACAACTGTATACTTCTGACTGATTGAGATGAGTAGGTGTACACCACCCACCACCAGTCAATAGTGCTCGTCAGCCAGATTGAAATGATCTAAACACCGAAAGGGGTTTCCGATCATTTGGCGCCGAGCTGGGTTCAGCTCACCTCACAGAGCCAAGTCAATTCAAACCGCTTGATTTGAACTACCGTCCAGTATGCAGATCACTTCAATCTGGCTAGTTAGTAAGCACTACTGGTTGATGTAAGTCGTATACAACTACTCATCTGAGTCAACCAGTAGTGTATAGTCTTATACATTTACCCTTGGTTTCGCGATTACTGTTCATGATATCAAGCAGATCACATGCTGTAATCTGAATAATCTCGGTTTCCATAAGGAAAATGTGGTTAAATAATCATCTCGAACTGTGCGAATTGTGAACTAAGTTGGCAAATAGCTGATTCATGAAGTGGTAGAATTTAGAATTCATGGGCTGGCTATTGGATCGAGTCTACCAGCTCGCCTTGTAACCAGAGGGTCCTGGTTTCGAGCCCCTGTGGGTGTGCACTCTTTGAAGAGTCCCAAACTAGGACGAAACATCTGTCCATTACTCCCGGTTGGTTTTCCAATGGTTCTCTAACTAATGTCATCTTATGATGAAATCTTCCCACCAAATAGCGGATTCGACTAGGTGAAAGATAATCCTACTAAAGGTTGTATTTATCATTCAATAAGGCATTGCACTAATTTGTGAAGGTTTTTCCAACATCTTATATGAAAACTCCTCTACGAAATATATCACGGAACATCATTTAGGAGATTTATTTACCGTCATATAAAGAAGTAGGTTTTTGTGATCCTAACTCTGAGTTCACATTTCATACCAAAAAGAAGAAACACTGGTTATCAAGACCACTTTTTCTAAAAACTACTGATTATTCTGATGATAAGAAAATGAATGCATAATAAAAACTAGGAATATTTATGATAAATGCACTACTAGGTTACTTCATTGAGAATTTCTTCAATATGGGTATATACTATCAGGTAATTCCCATCTTCATGTGGATTAGACTTTTTACAGACAGAAAAATATATATACATAGGTATATATACATATATATATATATATATATATATATATATATATGCATATGTATTTGTATAACTATTTGATAGGCGTAAATCACGTTTTCTCTCCGACATTTTTATATGCCATGATATTTATCACCTATATGAAGTTAGTTACTGGAAATAAATGTCGAAAATTGCTAGCCAGATAAGTAAGCCAACTTGCGTAAATATAGCAACAGGTGGAACTAAACTATTTAATTAATTTATGCAGATAGTTTTTTTTTATGTTTAAGGCGTATTACAGACCAACAAGTTTTCATTCCATGGTATTTTATCTGACATCTAACTGGACAAGAGAATATCTGATACGGTTGATTCGACTGATAGGTGGACTGACATCAGTGAATCGCAGTAATCGGGAATGAAGTTCCAGACTAATAACCTGACAACTGATGGTCAAAATCCTACTGCAAATAGAGTCTCTAGTCGCACATCTCTAATCATAACTGATTACTGGATATAATATTTTGGCTATTATTATTCCATTAGGTTTCGAGTAGAACATAGAGCTTTATGAGCACACCGACATATCTCCTTGTTCTCTGCTGTATTTTTGCCTTGCTTGCCCAAAAGCTTTCATTTTCTCTTCACATAATCTCTTCCATGTCACCTTCGGACCGATGCCCAACTTGCCGTTTCCTATCCGGATTTCACTCTCGGGTCTTGAGCGTGATGCTACTCAATGGTCTGCACAGTGTGCGTCCAATTCATATCCATTCGCTTCACTATATTTATCGGGAAATAGGTTCTTAGTTGTTTCGTTGACTGAATAACTTGTAGCTAATCCTTTCTGCCCGGTCATCTGATATTCTCAATTAAGCCAGTGAAGACAGTTGTTGATGAAAGTCCAAAGTCCGTTAGGATGGCTTTCGGTGACGCAAGAGTCAAGTCTATGAGTTATATAAAAACACAGACTAGCTTGACAATAGTGTTTAAGTGAGGCCGTAACTCCCTGTGATTTCAAATTGATGAAGGTCTGTCTTATTTTTCCAATCCTGACTGCCTTTGATAGCTTGATGCGTTCTGACAGCCTTTAGTTGAAATAATGTGGCCAATAGTGAATTAAAACTCATCTGAGCTCTATTAAACATTTAGTTTTCCTGCACCTTTTTAAACTGGGACCGATTCCCTAGCTATGAATGCTCAAATGACATCTTAATATCAGTATTCACCAATAAACAAAGCTGATGAAAATCTTCAAATTATTAGTTATTCATGGTGTGATGACAAACTTTCCCTGCATATAATGCATACCTGTAAATTAGTAAGGTAGAATAAGTTGAAAGCGATTCATAGAAAACTAATAACATTTTTACAAGAGTTATAAATTATCAGAGATTGAAAGACACTGAAGACTGTACTGCATCCATCTTATCAGCTAAACAGTAAAATAACACAATGTTACTACTTTATCTAATAAAACATTTCTTTGAATAAATAAAACTGACAGTTTAACACGTATTTCTAAGCCATTCAAACAAAAATAGAATTTTTAAAAAGAATCAGAACTCTGTAAAATATTTGAATGACCTAACAACATGCCCTTTATCGTCAACCATGAATGCTATCAACCAAAATGTTAACCAGAAACAAATGCATTTAACAAGAATTTGGCTTCAAAAGGAATTTTTTATTAAGATTTTCTCATAATTCTATTCCTTTGTGTTCCCAAGAGAGCACAAGGCTTCAAGCTTTGAAGTTCCGGTAGTAATTGGTGCTTCTATTTGTTTTTTACGGGGTGGGGTTGCTTTCCTCATGCCTAGCCTCCCCTCTATACTGGGCTTACTCCTAGTTCAGCGAGGTTTAGAAGTACGGCAGCCGTGGACCGAACCCCGGACCACGTGCATGATTGACGAGTGTTCTACCACTGAACCGCCGATGCACTTCAAATGTAATTAATTATTTGGATTTTTGTAAACGTTTATTGTTGTTGTTATGTTTTTCATACGTCTTTATACTCCATAGTAAGTTTTATATGAATTTTCTTATTAAACCTACGTTCTAGCTGACAAATACAAAACAGTAGTAATCAACTTACAATGACAGTATCATGTCCTTTCAGTATTTTACTCAACAACTGTAATAGAATATTTCATACAGCCTACTCCCTTTATTAGTTTCAATAAAGAAAGAACAAACATATTTGAAGGATAATATGAGCTCGTTTCATTTCGTGGATTCTCTTCAGCTGTGTGCATCCTAAATATATCAGTTATATGTTACAAAATGGTGTCTGAACATACTTTTCACAATGATTTCAAGTTGTAGATAGAAAGTGTTAGCAGCATAATTTCAAAGATGATGTAAGTAGACAATTATTTAGTGTTAACAGAGCAACTATTGATGTAGTAATTAGACAAAGAGGTGGAACTCAGATTTCTCTTGGAAACACGGATGGACTAGAGACAAAATATAAGAAAGAACGACAGAGTGAATTTATACAGATTATGGTGGAGAATTCAGGAGGGTGGGAGAGAATAGTGAAGTAAAATTATTCAATAGATAATTTAATTTAGTAGATTTGGAACCTTAATAGTGATTTCAACTCAGTGAGTTAAAATCAAAATCAAGATTGATTAGGATGTTACGCATATCCCTAAAAGTTTGCATTTTCAAGGCAGCGCAATTGCCAGACACCTAATTGACATGGGACATACAGTGAAAATTAGTCAGGCTTTTAAAATAATCCATACACAAAGAAAAGCATGATTACTTCGACTGGCAGAAGCCATCGCTGTCAAACGACTTCGACCCAACCTATGCATACAGAAAGAGAGTGTGGCTAATCACTCATTACTCTAATAACGGTAACTGTTTTGTTCGTTTTTTTTTGTTCTGTTGCGTAACATTCCACTCAATCTTGATTTTTATTTTATCTCACTGAGTTGAACTCACTATTAAGGTTCCAAATCTACTAAATTAAATTATCTATTGAATAATTTTTACTTCACTATTCTCCTCCACCCTCCTGAATTCTCCACCGTAATATGTAAACGTTAACTCTGTTGTTCTATCTTATATTTTGTCTCTATTCCATCCTTGTTTCCAAGCGAAATCAGAACTCCACCTCTTTGTCTAATTACTATATCAACAGTTACTCTTTTAACATTAAATAATTGTCTACTTACATCATCTTTGAAATTACGTTGCTAACACTTTCTATTTATAACATGAAATCATTGTAAAAAGTATGTTTAGACACTATTTTGTAACATATAACTGATTTATTTAGGATATATTCAGTTGATGAGAATCCACGAAATAAAACGAGCTCATATTATCCTGCAAATATGTTTGCTCTTTCTTT